TCGGTCAGATTGGTTAGACGAGATAGGCTTACTGTATTTTTCAGAGTTGTGAAAAAATGAGATTTTTGCGGTTAATTCGATTAATTAGTTGCAGTGAAGTGTTTTTCTTATTTGGAAGAGGTTTTAGTTTCTTCTATGATTTAAGTTTTTGAATAGATAGATTCGCACAGGTTAGCTGTGATACCAGTTAGTATCTTGATGTCAGCGTTCAGTATCCTTTGGCTCAAGTGAGATGCCATTGCAATTGCTTCTGTATTATCAAAATGTTATTCGAATTTGATAAGATTGGTGTCATTGTAGGCTTATAGGATTTGGTTTTGTTGAAGTAGAATGATTTTTAATAGCATTCTATGCAGTAATGCTGGGGTTGCTTTTTTTTTTCTTCGTGATTTCTACATCCGTGCCTGCGGATTTTCAGTCTGTTTTGTTGATTTCTCTAAGTCAAAAAAGATTTTCCCATCGAATAAGTTGAAAGGGGGTTGAAACGCAGTGATAACTCTATTTTGCCTGATTGGTGTTGTGAATCTTGAACATAGCTGGTGTAGAAGATTAGACCGAGTTCGGCCTTGATCGGAAGTCGGCCGAGACTGATGTTAAAAAAACTATGTTATTGAGAGTTGTGCAACTGTTTTAGAACACTTTGCTCTCATGAAACTAAATGCTAGAATATCAATTCCTTATATTCTTTTGTACACGTTTTCCCTGTTTTTGCTATTCCCAATTGCTCTTGGTCATTTGGCCTTCTAGTAAAAGGTTCACTTTATGTGCATATATGAATCAGTGTACCTATGTCATAGTCTATCGTGTTGTGGCGTTTGTGTATTAGTTAGTTTTTTTACTTGTCTCTTTCGGTATTTCGATAAAAGAATATTTTAGTGAGCTAAACATGGTACTTTTTGTTTAATTTGTCTGTCAAATGATTTTAGAATCTCAATTCTTTATGGACACTAAATGCAGGTTTCAAGACTTCAGTAAAAGGTGCATCAGCTGAACGATAATACATTTTTAGTATAGAATGGAAGATGGATTTTCAAGCTTCTGGGGTCCTGTCACATCCACTGACCGGTGCGAGAAAAACTACGTTCACTCATCTTACATTGCGGAGTTTTTCAACACTATATCCAATGTCCCGGGAATTGTTTTAGCACTCATTGGCCTTATAAATGCCTTAAGACAACGATTTGAGAAGAGGTTTAGTGTCCTTCACATATCTAACGTGATACTCTCCATTGGGAGCATGATATACCACTCCACACTGCAACGCGTGTAAGTGTTCTGTTCCCCCAAATGCTTCTGACATTAGATGAATGTCACTCCAATTGAGACATTATATTAGAACATATTGTTTCCGTATGCCTGATTAGAATATCGTTTTTTTCCTTGTACCGGTTTGCTTAGTAGAAACAATGACTAAATTTATGGTTTATTTGATTATTCTTCACTGCATCTGATATGTCAAATGAACTTTAGAAACATTGCTGCTGATGTTATGTAGCTTTAAGAATTAAGATTTAAAAATTCGTAATCCTTTATTGTTTACCAAGTTGATTTGCAATGTGAAATTCCAAATTCTTTTCAGGCAACAGCAAGGTGATGAAACTCCAATGGTGTGGGAAGTACTTCTATATTTTTACATCCTCTACTCACCGGATTGGCACTATCGGAGTACAATGCCTACTTTCCTATTCTTTTACGGAGTAGGATTTGCAGTAGTCCATGCGCTCTTCCGTTTCGGAATTGGCTTTAAGGTGCACTACGTCATTCTTTGCCTTATCTGCATCCCTCGCATGTACAAATACTACATCTGCACAAAAGATGCCGCTGCAAAACGACTCGCAAAGTTATATATAGCAACATTGCTCCTCGGAAGTATATGTGGGGTTTCGGACCGGATATTCTGCAAGCAGATATCTAATTGGTACTTCAACCCTCAGGGTCATGCCTTATGGCATGTCCTCATGGGCTTCAATTCGTATTTCGCCAACACATTCTTGATGTTTTGCCGCGCACAGCAGCGAGTATGGGATCCGAAAATCGTCCACTTCTTGGGTGTTCTCCCTTATGTCAAGATTCAAAAAACAAAGAGCCAGTGAAAAAGCTAGCTTGCTGCACAAGCCAATTCTTTTTTACCCGGAAGAGATGAATGGAAGAAAATCGTTTTGTGATCGACCCATATTTTAACATTCATATCCTCTCTCATTAGCTTTAATACCCTTAGATTAATGGCTTTCATGGATTTGGACACTTAGTTTTACAGAAATTAGTTTAATGTATTTGTGAGTGATAGAAATATGGCAAGAATTTTGGTCTTTTTTTATCCAACTTTTCAGGATTTGAATTATGTATCAATGATTTCCCAATGCTCCATGCTTTCCAAAGGAAACCCTAATTTTTTTCCTTCCTCACACCAACAAATAATTCAATAAAATCTCTCTTTATATATATTTTGATTAATTCGGGGTAAGTTCAAGATAGAATATGCTCAAAGATAACTCTTAATTATTTGACATTGAAGCTTACATCTAGGGATGGGCATGGGACCCAAACCCGACGAATTTTGATACAACCTGATCGGGTCGTTTTTTTTATAAAAAAAAATCGGTTTCGGGTCGGGTTGGGTTTAAGGTGAAAAATACCCGACCCGACCCGGAAAAATATAATTTTACCTTATATATTTAGGAATAATTACAATAATACCCCTCTCTATATATTATTTTCAATTAAATCATTGTTTTTATTGAATAAAAATAATATTTTTATTATTATTTCGGGTCGGGTCAAGTCGAATGAAGGGTATATATTATGCAGGTCGGGTCGGGTCGGGTTGACCAAAAATCCGATCCAACTCGACCCATGCCCATGCCCATCCCTACTCACATCATGACATCTATAGTGCTCGAACTAGGACTTCAAAGAATAACAACAATTCATTTACCAGAGATCGTTTCATAAACTATATATATGTACGTTCAAAAGAGGTACATTTGAGTGAAATGAGAAAGAGAAGTGGTAAGGGAAATGATAATAAATTTGAATGTGATGAGGAAGTAGTCTGCACAACTTTCTGTTCTATTTGGCCTGTATTTTTCAAATGATTTATTAAATTTAAGGATTAGGATAAATAATTAGTATATATTTTTAATAATGCGCATAAAATATATTCTAAATATTAATGTATATTCTCCTATGAGAAGTAGGGCAGAAAAGGATGAGATAATCGAAGGCCTTGCAAGTGAACCATCATCATAAGCACAACTGTAAGCCCTAGGGCATGCCCTTTTGAAAATTGTTGAATAAAATGAAGGCCTACACGTTGTTGGGTTTCCGAATTCCCCGCTGCAGCAATATTGGTCCAGCCCCAATGCCTCGCGTGCACTTCGGCACGCCACCACCGCCCCCACCGCCTCCGCCCACCACTTGAAGCTCTCTAGGACAAGCTGAATATCATTTAATCAAAGTACTTTATATAAGTGTTAATGATATGATCATATGTTAATGTCATGTATAATATATGTTTTAAAAATCTTTTTGATATTTTATCGTTTTATAGCTTATCATATATATATATATATTATTTTCTAATTTTTATTTTTATTTTTATTTTTATTTTTATTATTTTTATTTAATTTTTTAATTTTTAAATATTTTTATATTTAAAATTTAAAATAATTTTTATTTTTTAAATAAATAAATAAACATTTACCTTTAAAAAAAGGTAAAAATATACCTAAGACCCTCGTACTTTAAAAAAAACAATGAGACACTCGTCATTTTTTCATTCAATGTGGTCTTTTGACCAACGTTTTCCGTCATTAACTAACGGAGTCATTAATTTTTTATGACGTGGTATGTCAAGCACACCACCTCGCTCTGTTTAGTGATGAATGAACCATGACTATGATTAAAATGCTAACTAGGAAATTAAAATAATTAATAAAAGTTAAATATTTTTTTACCTGGAAACCTGAATTAAACTTGTTGTGCACTTCATTCACTGCATCTAAAACACAAAAATTAAAAAACAATCAATTGATTCCTTGAATGGCTATATGACTTCTAAAAAAACGAAAAGACTTTGAATCAGCCGTAATCGATTCCTTCTTGAATCATTAAAATCCTTCTTTAGAAAAAATTCTTTGAACAGTCCAAAAAAAACCCAGACAATGTTGTTTTCTAGTTACAGTTGATATGTTTAGCCTCGTTGGGACCATTGGGGAAGGTTAAACTTCAATATCTTGCTTGATTACATATTAGTTTCTTCACTCTATCCTGTCGAGTTGAAATTAGAAGAGGGGGTATTTGTTAGCAGGTTTATGCAGATTCTAACAGCTACTGTACCGATGATGGTGATAGGAGGGGAGCATGAGATTGAAAAACAAGCTGATAATCAGACATTCACTGCTTATAGTTATCGATTTGCATCCACAAACGATGAAAGTGGGTCGACATTGTACTACTCTTTCGATGCCGGCGGTATACATTTCGTGATGTGCATATGTTCCCTTTGATAAATCATGTAAAGTCATCAACCTCTTTCTTTATTTTCCCTTCTCATTTTGTCCATCGATCATGGTTTTTGCTCTGTCGATTGCAGCGGATCAATATAAATGGCTGGAACGAGAGTGGAAATGGAAGAATTGCTATATAAACATCGAGTTGATATTGTTTTCAATGGACAAGTATATATATACACACACACGTGCGTGCACACAGACGCACACTAGAGATGTTAATGTAATCTTTGATCGCTCTCTTCGAGTTGCTGGTTAAAACATACCTTCCCTGATTGATCTGTTTCATGCTATAAATGAACTGAGATATAATATTCTTGACAATGAACCAGGTTAATGCCTATGAGAGGTCAAACCGAGTATATAACTACACGATGGATCCGTGTGGTCCAGTTTATATCACTGTTGGTAGTGGTGGCAATGAAAAGAATTTAGCACTTAAGCATGCTGATGAACCTGGAAATTGACCAGTACCCTCTAACATCACAGATGGATTTACGGGCGGCTTTTGCGGATTCAATTTTACATCCGGCCCGGCATCTGGTAATTTCTGCTGGAACAAACAGCATGAATATAGTGCTTATAGAGAAAGTAGCTTTGGCTATGGGATTCTTGAGGTACACACACTATTTCTCTTCCTCTCCCTGTCGTGCGCACACACACTGTTACTCGTGAGTGGGTCGGGTATGGATATGTACCCGATATTCGTATGTTCAATTATTTTTTTCCTGAAAAAGCCTAAGATTTTGGACCATCATCATTGAAGTGTCAATTTGTATCACTACGTATTAACTACATTTACTATAAATTTGACCAAGTTGAACCATCTTCAAGTAGGTATTCAGTGATGGGCAGAGTTTTTGTGGCTTACAGGTGAAAAACCAGACTCATGCCTTGTGGATTTGGTACCGTAATCAGGACCGCTACTCGTCCGGTGCCGATGTAATTTACATTGTATGACAGCCAGATCGGTGCCTCGGTTCAAATGAAGGTGATTAAGCTTCTGATTTAAGGTCCATTCCATAGAAAACCGGGGCAGGAGCGATGACTTGCTGCACAAACAACTTAATATAAGCAAATATTAACCATAGATTTTTGTGAGAACCATGAAAAGAGAAACGTTCCATACCCCGAATTCAAATCCCAACACATTCGACGGTACGACCTCTATAATATGCCCCTATGTTGCTATGACCCTTTCTCGGGGCACTCGTATCCCGTGCTCGTGTCCCCGATTGACCCTCCAAATACACATGTTGATCTCATGCTTGTAACATGAAACACCCGAGTAGTTCTGATCCTTCCCGAGTAGTTTTGTTGCTTATTATTTGCAGGGTGTGTTTTGATCGCAGGTGCAGGAAGTACCAGATTCACTCCCGGAAAAGAGGCGAGAGAGTCCGGATTCATTCCCGGAAAAGAGACGAGAGAGGTACAGCTTCAAAATACTCAGAAAAAGGCTTATGCACCATCCTACATACTGCAATTTTTTTCTCTGATTTATGCAATGTACATGATCAGAGTCGATCTTTTTGTTTAGGATCGCAATCATTTGTATGAATTAGGGGGAAATTACTACATCCTACATACTTATTTTTTTTTAAAACCAAACCAAACCTAACGTTTAGTTTTTGTTTCATTACCCAGTTGTTAAAAGCTTTTCGGATGGACCCGTCAACCGTTACGTCTACAATCGCCATTCATCACATCTGTCGGTCGATGAAGCCCAAACTTTCTAACCTGCGTTGTTTTGATCCCTACAAAGTGATTCCGACATCCGCTTCTTTGGAAAATACCTCAATCTCCCCAAATCAACGATGAACTCTTCAACTTCGTCATCCTCCGATCTCCGTTGTCAACCATTCGATGAGTCTGAAATTGGAATGTGCTGTTGACTTGTCATTCTCTCGTTGTCATCGTTCGGATTGGTCGTTCTTCCACAGGAGCTATGCCTTGTCAGTCAATCCGCCAAATTTTTAACGGCGATGTGCTAAAATGAAACAAAAACTAAAATGTTAGATATGTTTTTGAAAAAAATTAAAAGTGTGGATACTTAAACGAACTAAAATTGATAGTTTAGATACTAAATGTCTAATTTACCCTATATTTCAAGACCACAAACTTTTCAACGCGTGGCGGCTAATAATTGGTCTGGCGCTTGCACTTTACGGCCATCTACGTCCATTAATTCAAATTGTCATATCATCGATTTTTAATTCCATTGATCTAATTAGTAATTATAGTTCGACACAATTATTTACATCTCCAATAAAGGTTTCAGTCACCATTGGCTAAGCACAACCAAGACACACCCCATGAAACACGGTGGAGCTGGTCGAAGATTTCGAAGCCAGCACCGAAAGGTCTGTTCATCGCCCGGGAAACTATTCCGAGGCGTAAGGCAAAGGCATTGGGGGAAATGGGTGGCCGGAATACGACTACCGAGAAACCAAACTCGGGTTTGGTTAGGGTCTTTCGAGACCGCCGAAGAAGCCGCCACCGCTTACGATACGGCGGCTTACATACTGCGTGGAGAACATGCACAGTTGAATTTCCCGGACCTTAAGGATCAAATGGTGGCCAATTCTTTGAATGGGAACACTGCTGCACTTCTCAAAGCTAAGTTGCAGGCCATATCACAAAAGTCCGGTCTCGGTCCATCGACAACAATGTCAAAACCGGCGGTGGAGGAAGTTTCGGGTTCGGACCGGAATACAGAGAAAAGTAAGGAGGTTTTGTTGTCGTAAGTTGATGGTGTACAGTTGAGTAGGTTGCCTTCCTTGGACATGGATATGATATGGGATTCTCTGTTGGTCTCTGATACATGACATTTTTCATGTATGAGCAGTAGGTATGTTTGTTACAAAATTTTGTTCCATACAAAGAAATATGAATACGATAAGATTGCAAATGTTTGGATTCGAATCTCGAATATGTTAAATGAATAATACTACGGCAGTAACGACTCTGCATCGAACTTACAGTTTAGTAGTTTATAACTACATACAGCAAACAGAATCAGTCAATATATCTAGAGAAAAAAGAAACTTTCTAATATATTTTACTGCTTGATATCATTGTAGGTGTTTGGTACAGTAATCGGAAGGTTTATTCATCGTTTACTATACATCGGTCGAAGACATTACTACATATAATGACCTTAATGAAACGCCGATCAAGCACCTGAAACCCAGGTCAAAGTCGTAGTAACGAGAAGTGTGATCGACAGAAGCTCATTTCTTTCAGGAACCTAAAGAGTTACCAACTAGTCAAAAACGGATCCTACAACAATACAATGAAAGTAACATGTATATATGTGTGTGTGTGTCAGACAGCTTACTTGTGCAATCATCGGGAAGTTGCAATCGTAACCGTCTGAAGATATCGGCTCGGTACCAAATGGATCCGACCAATCAAATTATCTAGCTCATCCGATTTATTGAATTCTGTCAGTGCCTTTCTCTCCTTCAAAGGCTTTTCATCGCTCCTAAAGGAGCAGCTTGTCGATGTCTTTTCTTTGACATAACCTGAAATCAAGCAGCTCGAGCAAGGAATCAAATTATAAGAGAAAAGAGAAACTGTAATGTCCTAGATGCCTACTGCAAGAAGAAATCATCATGCAAAACAATGTGCAATGTAGATTTTGATGACGCAGAGAGTAAAGCAGCACCTTAGAGGATGGAGGGGGCAAAGATGCCTGCCGCAAAGCCTTCCCGGGGACAGATAATTGTCGAATCTCTTGAAGTTGACTTGCAATATTTTCCATTAGTTGCATCTGAGATTGTTCCCTTTCCTTGAGGCATGTAGGGATGTTGAGCTTTTCTCTTCCATGCTGTATGATCCTCAGCCTTTCTCTAAGCAACCCGACTTCATTGTCGATTTTATACTTTTCATAATCGAAAGAAGACATGGAATTTCGACGAGAAATCGAAGGTAAAGATTTGACTCGTGAAGGATCAAGTGGTGGCAACCCACCAGATCTGTCTGAACTGTTTCTTTTCCTACACGGTTCAGTTTCTAGTCCATCAATGGTTGAGGTAACTGATTTGTTGTCCTTTCTGTTTTCGCTATCTTCATTAACGACATGAACATCGAGGATATTTCGACCGATACCAGAATCCACCAGTGGTTGGATTATCTCTTCGTCTAACAGATTCTCGTTATCGTTTTTCGATGGATGTTTGTGCTCTTTTTCAATGGTAGAACTCATAGAGCCTGCTTCTTCACCGAGTACTGGAATCAGTAACTGTTTCCCAAAATCGAGAGACTGATTCGATGACAGGATAGATTGAGGGAACTGCTCCAACATTAACACTGGCTCCTCATATGAAGTCATTTGTTCCTGTGAAGCTGCCATGTCGTATACATCGGTATCCGATTGATCTTTGTCGAAGAACATCTTCTTGTAAGCTTCGACTTCCTTCTCCAAGAAAAGTTTTTCCCTTTCTCTTCTTAATAAAATCTCTTTCAGAATGTTCATTTCTTCAGCATCAAACGCAGCTTTTTCTTCAATCATCCTCTGATATTGCTTAGCTTCCATTTCCATGGCCGCCTTCTCCTCTTGCAAGCGCAGTATCATTGCCATAGCCTCATCCGCAGCAGTAGAAGCAGCTATTCTCTCCTTCTCGAGCTCCGAGTACAGAGCAGTACGACCGGCATGCTCTTCGTCCAGAGCTTGTTCTAAGACTCGAATCGCGTTTTTATCGTCGCCGGCGCACTGGGACTCAACCACCGCTAATTCCTTCTTAGCCACGGCAAAAGGTTCATCAACGATTTCGAAAATCAGAGGAGAACGTTGTTTAAGCTCTTTCAAGCTTTCCTTGCCATCTAAGTTACATAACCATGGACATTAGAAGTGTTATTAGCACGTGAAATGGGGAATACAAGTCGATACATGTTATTGACGTAACATTTTTATATATACTTAATTATTAATGAATTATATGTCACATCATCTAAGATTATGGCGTGACATATCAATAATTAAACACATATGGAAACCACACATCAGCAACATACGTTTTATTAATCAAAATTAGAACATCGGAACTAAGATGCTTCCAAGAAATTAAAGGACTAAAATGATCATTCAAATAAATATTAAGGGTTAATTTTAACATTATACCTAAATCATATTCGAAAAGTTTGATTAATTATCATCAAGATGCAAAGCAGTGCCAATTCTAGACATATTTTCATCATCCAAACGATCTCCAACATGAAATTTCAACACAAAAAAAAAAAAAGCAACAAAAACAAATCAAAAACAAGAGTTTCACAAATGATCATAATCACCTTCAGAATGAATCGAAGTGGTGCTAGCCATGGTCTCAAGCTTACCACCAACACCAGCAGAAGAATTCAAATTCGAACCAACAAAAGGATCATACAAAAACGACGACTTCCCATCAAAATCATTAGTAGATTTCTCACGCCTCCTAAGACCACCCAAAGGCCCCATAGGAATCGACACAAAGCTCCCTTTCTCATGCCATGAACTAGAAGAGGCTTCCCCCCCTCCCATTTCAATGTCACAATTTCGCCATTTCTCCAAATTGCCATCTTCTTCTTCTTCTCCTCCTCCTCGATGAAAACCGTTCCGGATCGAATCAAAGGGGATCTTTCTCATAGCAGATGATTGAACAGATGAAATTTTAATTGATGGGTCGTTCAATAGCTTGGATTGGACACAAATGTTATTGTATCGGTACCCAAAAAATCCATTACAAGGACAAGGCAAGGATAGCCCAAATAAACCCAGAATTTTTGAAGCGAAATAAGCAACGGCTGATCCACAAAGTAATGTATAAGCTATGAAAAGATCGAGGAAAGCGCCCACTAGGCCAGTGAATGTCCATGAATTTATAACCTCGCATGCCATCGACTAACAAAAAGGACGGATTCTCTCTTTTTCTCTCTTCCTTTTTTTCAAATAAAAAAAAAACAGGAGAAGCGAGAGCTTTTCAATCTTTGTAACTCGCCCTCCCCGAGTTGGTTATTGATCGACTCAATGGAAAACTCGACGGAGTTTGATCACTGAGTCGATGAAGGGATCGAGGAAGAAAAGGAAGGAGGAAGATAGCAATGTTATTTTTCAAGTTCCTTTGGATCGATGTTAAATGGTTTTCGTTTTAGGAGCAAATGTTTATTTAAAGGTTTCGGTTACGTTTCCCGGCCAATTATAAATCAGGGGTAAAATGACCACTTGGGTCCCTCCAAATTTCAAAATTGCGCCAAATTGGTCCCTCTTAAAAGATAGACAATTTAGTCCTTTGATTTTAAAAGTGAGCAATTAAGGATAATTACTCACCGCATTAATTTTGGGTAATTTTATTCTAGATCACTGAACTTTACTCAACTTTCATTTAAATAAAAAATCATTCAGCTTTCATTATTAACGAAATTAATCACTTAAAATCATTTGACTTGATTACCTAGTAAAAGATAAACTTGGTTCTCATTAGTTCGAATTAAGATTTTTCTATGCTAATTAAAAATAAAAATACCTAATTAAACTCCCGAGTTACTTGAATCATCGGTTTCCGATCAACCAATCGATCCGATTTTTTCGACACCAGTACGAGGAAATGGTTGTAACCCCATGTTCAAAGGGATCTGCTTTTAGAAATATACATATCACTGATGGTACAGTTGATAAAATTGAAAAAGTAGCATTTCTAAGATGGAAATGTCCTTGAATTAACTAATATTAGGCATCACCCACTCCATTTCTGCCCTTAAATTGCCATCCGAAGGCAAAGGGTCACCATTACCAAACAAGGGTCTTTGCCTCTTCTTCAAGCAGCTTTCGACGGAGCAGTCGCCGACTTGGGCCGGCGTATTCGAGGTAGTAGCTTTGTTCTCTAAAACCGCAGCAAGTTCGGGTAAGGAAGGCAAAATGTTATCGAGAGGGACCATCCCTTGACAATTGTTGGAAACCTTGATCGCCAGTTCGGAGAGCTCTTCTTTGGCAGCTTCAAGACTGGCGGAAGTGGCCGTCTGATCGTTCAGAGCTTTACAGGCTTTCTCGAGTATTGACTCTAGGTATTTGCTTTGCGCTTCAATCCGAAGTTGAAGACGACGTTGTACCTGCAAAGTGAAACCATAAGTATATCGAGAAATCATACATTTATAACAGCATACAGTCAACAATATACATGATGATTAACCGTACAACGAACTACCGAGGAAAGTCGAGGCAACTATAACCGACCTCTAACTGTTCATGTAGTCCTCGTTGCACTTCCATCTGTACTCTAAGAGCTTCGGTAACCTGGTAACCACTGTGCGGAAGTAGAATTTCGGCATTAATCCAAAGCCGGAGAAAGTAACGAGATCGTGAAAAGAGAAGAAATAACATACTCATTAAACTCTTGAGCTATCATTTTCGACGATGTTGTCGATGAACCAGTGTCCTGACTTTCTGCCACACAAGAAGCTGAAACACCAATAAATCATCTGGTTATCAGTCAACTAAGAACACGATAACTAATATCTCGGCGTCTATTACTTAACACGAGAATTCTCAGGACCTTCACCAAGAACCGTATGTAATGCATAAATGTGGGAGAAAAGGAAAAAACAATTGAGAAGAGGTTAAATGCAAAGTAAGATCGACAAAATTTGGTAATTTGGTGCTCGATAATGACTCGTAAGTACATCAAAGGCATGAACTCTGAAGCAAATCATAATTTAAAGAGACAAAGAAGCTTACCATCCTTAGAATTATCGATCGATTCCTTGCAAGATTGCTTCCCCAGACGGTATTTCTGCAAGTAAAGGGTGTGTTAAGTTCATTCCTTCGAACACAAACGCAAGCATATGTTAATGGTGCATGGTAAACACACATTAAGCTTATTAATTCCAGTCTATGTTGTTCCCACTCTTCATCATTCTTGAAATACCTGTGTCCCAGACATATTTGGGCATATACGTGTTAGGATATGATCCTCCAAGGACCCTCCAAACACATGGGAAAAAAAACTTAAAATGTTTGAACATTATCGTATCCGACACACACCAGTCTGAGTGACTTGATTCTGGTAAATCTTGTTGCAATCGAAGATCATTTTCGACTTAGACATGACAACAAGGAGAAACTTCAGTTAACAATCAATAAAGACATGGCAACAATTACAAACCTGAAGATGTGATTTCAAGTGATAGAGGGTAAGGCCTTTTACGCCCATTGTTCTCATGATAGTCTTTGGAGTTGCTTCTGCAATGCATATCGAAACAAAACAAGTGAGCAACATCGAGATTCATATCTTTAGAATAACAACATGCAAGAGCGTATAGGACATATCCCGGATGTGGACTTGTAATGTCTTTGTCAATCAGCTAGGTTCGCATAAATTCACTCCGGTATTCAAACAGACCAGCACATACGATCGCCCTGGCTCGACAAATATAGTTACAGAAGTTGGGGAACCAATCATCGCTTGAATGCATACGAAGCCTGATTTGGCTCAGCAGTAGTGAGCCTCAAAACCAAACAAAAGAATGACAGAAGGAACATTAAAGTATCATAGTTGCTCAAGTTTGTCTTCCAACAAAAGTATGCTGACAAAAAATTATCAAACATAATTCGAATATTACCAGAGAATTGTATAACCAGAACAGAAAGCAGCATTAGAAGAATAAAAAACGAAACCGAGCTCGATGAATGAGCTAAGTCAATGTCTACGCATTTATGCATATATATATATATATATTACGCATAAGAAGAAGGTCTCTCCCGATCGAATCGTAAACTAAGATTAAAAGAATATAGGATCGGCTGATATCTTTTCGAAAGAACTGAGAAAAAAATTCATAGATGCCATGATCGGTTTCCCACTGATGCCTGACCGCATCAATAGTCGAACATGATTGTAAACCAAAACTGATATGAAGAACATGGTAACAACATATCTTCTCAGGGTTTCAAATCACGGTTCGAAAATGTGATTTCGTCCGCGAAATAACGGTTTCACCGCTGTCCGAGTTACCCGCAATAGCGCTCGCGACGGCCACAATCATGATAAACCCGAAATGAACGAAAACGCGACCGCGATTTGAAACTCTGTATCTTCTTCATCCAGAAAATGTCAAATTAACTCTCATTTTAATCATTTCAACTTAGCCTATAAAAATAAAGGCGTAATGCCAAAAATTACAAGTTTGATTAAATAGTTATTCTGACTCCTTTTTTAGACCATTTTACCCCCCAATATTTTATTTTAAGATAAAAAATCCTCAACTTTTTGACTAAATAGTCATTTTAACCCTTATTCTTTCTTTTTGAAGCATTTTAACCCTCAAAGTTTCATTTGCGGGTAAAAAAGTTATTATTTTAGAGTGTTAACTATTTATTGACTAATGATTTTCATTCACCGATTGACCTTTTTACCTAAAAATTAAACATTTGAGGCAAAATGCTAAAAAAATATTATAGTATTTTTTGTCATTATGCCAAAAGTAAACTACTTTATTGAACATCCCCATCAATACAAAATACATACATATATGCAAATATATGTATACATATAAGACGGCTAAAGCCGGAAATCAAGGTTAGTACTAAATTACGACGGCAACACAGTGTAACGGCAGCTTCGTAACACTTTTCAAGATCATCACGACACTATGATGTCAAATTTAGAAACATAGTTATTTCTAGAAAATAAATCATGTCCGCAACGGCAGCTTCGTAATACTTTTCAAGATCGTCATGACACTATAATGTCAAATTTAGAAACATAGTTATTTCTAGAAAATAAATCTTGTCCGCAACCTCGACACGGCGGCCGCAATTTTGTACTACGGGCCAGAGACCACTTAGAAAACTTCAATTAACATTTAAATAAAATTCATTATTATCCCATCAAATGAGAAAATAAGCTTAGTATTTAAATAACCCAGAAAAGAAAAACTCACTGTCAGGGCCGCCGAGTTGAACAATGGCATCGACGAAGCGTTCGTGCAGCTCAGCCGTCCATCGGAGTCTGGGCTTCGGATCCGTCGTTAGGACCAAACAAGGATCGCCGGGCAAGTTGCAGGCATCAAACGACCCTCCCACATTTCCATCCAAATGTAACGACCGAATTCCAGAGTACATTTTCTTCTGCAACTGCTTCCCCCTTTTTTCCCCCAGGAAAGTGATGGAAAATGCAGGGCCGACGATTAATAAGGGGCAGATGAGAGTCGGGTTTTCTTCGGTTTTCGGGTCGGTTTACGGAGCCCGAAATTTGACACACACAGAGATTATAAAAGCGAAGTGAGTGAATTTAGAAGCATTGCAGAGGTTCAGACAGCGATGTCTTGTCGTGTCTCTGTCTTTCACTTTCAGCTCTCTGTTTTTGGGTAAACTACAAATAGTTCCTAAACTTCTAGGAACATTTCTTTATGCTCACTAAACGTTTAAAACACACACTACAATCACTGAACTTTTAATTTATTTTTGTTACCGTCATTGAATTAAAATCATAATGTTAAAAATATCTCTAACATTTGATTAAATAATTATTGTAGCCCTTAATTATTAAAATTTTTGACTCTCAATATTTTATTTTGAAGCAAAAAATCTCTTAAGTTTGACTAAATAGTCACTTTAATTCTTATTCTTTTTTAGAACATTTCGACCTTTAATGTTTCATTTTATAGCAAAACAAAATCATATTTTTTTAACGTTGATCATTTGTTAACTAATGATTTATATCGATGGAGAAACCTTCTTACTCTAAAATAAGGGTTCGTTTGTTTCAATAAAAATATTTTTCGAAAAACGTTTTCCGTAAAATGAATTACATTTTCTGAAAAATATTTTTTTAAAAACGTTTTACAGTATTTGAGAGATGTTGTGTAAACAATTTTCCGTTAGTTGATTTAAAAAAAATATTTGTTATAAATATCAAATATAATAAAAGATATTATTTATTATAAAAACTTAATAATGTTATTTTTAAAATATTATAATGAATAAATATTTATAAAAACTTAATATTATTATTTTTAAAATATTATAATAATTTATTCAATTTATTTATGTCAAAAGTATTATTAAAATATTATTTCTATAAATTTATAAATAAAAATATTAAAGTTAGTATATTCTATTGAAATAAAAATATTATATTATGTTTCTTAAATTATGAATAAACATATTTGAAGTATTTATAAAATATTACTAGATTATTATATTAATATTAAATACATAAATAACATTATTCATGATTAATAATTAAATAATATTTCTTTTAGGAAATTAACAGATAATATAATTTATTTTATAATATTAAAATAAGAATAAAATATAATTGAATATATTATTATAATATTAAAAATATTAATAAATATATTTTGAATATTTTAATAATTAATATTTTTATTAAAATAATTTTAAAATATTATTTTAAGTATTTATGTTTTGAAGGAAAAAATTCAGGAAATGAGTTACAAAAAATAAGAACGTAAGTTATTTTTCAGAAAACACAAAGAAAATTTTATTGACAGAAAAAAATATTTTACTGACCAACATGTTTTCAGTAAACCAAACACTGAAAAATAAAAAAAATGTTTTCTGAAAAACAAATGAACCCTAAGATATTAAAGTTAAAATACTTTAAAAAATGAGTCAAAATAACTATTTCGTTAAATGTTAAGGGTATCTTTTGTCATTACACAAACTTGGAATGATCTTTTACTACTTTTTTTAGGATGACAAATAATCTAAGTTATCATTAATCGATCTTTAATTTTGTTGGTTAAGGTATAAATTCTAGATAAACCATTATGGATATATTTTAATTTGATCATTAATTTTTTATATCAATTAGATCATTTAGTTATTTAAGTATTACCAATCAAGTGATCATTCATTAATATTTAATGAATGAGATAATATGTTTGTTAAAATAGTTAATATAATTATACATTAAATGTGTAAATATTGAAGATTAAATTAATATAATTATATTGAAAACATTTTGATATTTTGATATAACAAATTAAGTTAAATTAATTTTAAGATTTTTTAAAAGATTTTCTAAGTATATTCGATATAATTATTCGAATATCAAAATATTACTCCAAATCTTTCAAATGTCATTTGTAATCCTTACTCAAGTGTAAAATTAAGTTTTAATCTTAAAATAATTTCAAAACAATTTTACAAAGTATTTCAAACCATTTCAAAGCAAAAAATTCCAGATTATCTAGAGGTAACCGATTCCCCCCAAGGGGGTACCGATTCCCCCTGATCAACGGTCGAAATATTTGAATTTTACACTTAGGGAATCGATTTCCTATGAGGGGGTATCGATTCCCCCACGCTCCAAGCTGTTTTATTAATTGATTTTACACTTAAACGGCTCCATTGACTTCACTAATCATCCCCAACGTTCAGAATCAATTGAAGGAGTATTTAAACAAGCTTAGAAGCCATTGATCAACAACAAGAAACAACAATCAACAAGAATCAAGAGAGAGAGAAAGCATCAAACCTTAAAGCATTTTCAAGCATTCAATATTCATATTTGCTTTCAAGAACACTTATTGTGGTCAATTGTATTATTCTTGAGTGTTCTTTTTTTGTTCTAGAATTGTGCAAACATCTTGCCTTGTGAGGATTTTCTTGTAAGTTTGCAAAATTTGTATTGTTCTATTTGGGATAGAGTGTTCTCAAGAATTTGGGGTATAAATCTTGAGATATTTGTAAGGTTACTCTTTGTCCTCAAAAGAAAGACAAATTAGTGAATTTGTGGAAAATCCTTAGTGTGAATAGCTAAGATAGTGGACGTAGACTTTGGTTGAGAAAGTCGAACCACTCTAAATCGATGCGCAATTACTTTCAATTTTCTGCAAAGCTTCCACTAAAATTTTTATTTGCCAATTCACCCCCTCTTGGCCAATTATACATTAATATTTAATGAATGAGATAATATGTTTGTTAAAATAGTTAATATAATTATACATTAAATGTGTAAATATTGAAGATTAAATTAATATAATTACACATTAAATGTGTAAATATTAAGGATTAAATATGTAATTATATTATTTTTTGACAATCGCATTAGCTCCTTCTTTAAATATTAATTGCTAATGGCTTGATTAACAACACTAAAATTATTAAGTAGTTTGGTTGAAAAAATAAAAATCGGTGATCAAAATAGAATAGAATCATAGTTAAGTGATAATGTATGTACTTTACGCTTTTCATATATAGTGCTTGTTTATTTTTGTTTTTTCTCATTACCCAAATATTGTTTTAAAATTATACCTAATAAAATATTTTATTTAAAAAAATGACTATTGATTTAACAAAAATGACGATAAGATATGATATAATAATATTTTCAGTCATAAAATGTATATATTATATCAAATTGATTATAATTTAAAATAATTCAATAAATTCTTGATATTTAAGAATTATTATTAAATTAATAATAAATTATTATATTATTAAATTATTAGTAAATAAATTCTTGATATTTAAGAATTATTATTAAAGTAATAATAAATTATTAGCAAATAAAAATTATTAAACTATATCAAATTAAAACAAAGATCAAACTAATAAAAATTTTACATATTAAGGATTAACGAATATTTTGAATGAGGTCTAATTTGATAGAATATTTCAAATTCTTATACATTTTTTTAAACAAAAGCTGAAAACCCATTAATAGAAGATGATCTCACGTCTCGCACCCTTCTCATATCTCTTTTGCTTCCCACTCTTTCTTGTTATCTTTTTCTTCCCACAAACTCTCATATTTTTCCTTGGTAATTTAGACAAAAGTGGAAACTTTATTAGCTTTCATCACTAGCCCTATTTTGCAAAGGTAAAAAACGAAATCACCACCCTTAAAGCTTCATTATAGCCCACAAAATCAAAGTTTGATTATATTATCATCAAGTGTGGTTTTATTGGGGTTTAAAACCCATGGATTTTTAGCTCAATTTGGGAAGATTTAAGCTCTATGAGTCTCCTTAGCTTTTCCTTAATTCTCCAAATCAGTTAGTAACTCATGTATATGATTTTGTATAGTGAGGGAAGTTGGGGAGAGATCTAAAGGAAAAGGAAATGAAAAGCTCACCTTTAGTTGAGTTGAAAGAGTTTCCAACAACTTAGTAGTCTAGGTAACTCACTACTAACTGAACTGTACCACATGTTGATCACTAAGTTTGTTTTGTTAGGTTGCATGAGTTATGAAGCATGTTCATGGTAGATTCAACATTTGGTTTTTTAGCATGTTTATGGACCTATTATTACTCTTGCTTCCATAAATAAAACTCTAATAACGTTTGGGAATCTCAGTATGACTCATGAGAGTGTTAGAGAGACATTTTCGTGCCATCGTACTAGAAGAACAATACCGATATTATTCATTATCTAGCTAAACTAATAGGGATTTTGGGAAGAAAGTATCGATACTCACCCATAGAGGGAGATCAACGGAACGTGGACAAAGCAGCAGTCACAAAAATGGTAGATCAAAGTCGAGAAGTAAGAAGAATTTAAAGTGCTACAATTGTGGAAAGAATGGTCACTTGCAAAATGATTGTTGGAGTCTAAATAAAAACTCCAATCCACAAGGCAATATCACAAAAACTTCAGATGATGGAGATGTTTTATGCTGTGAAGCGTCAACCACTGTGGAATGTAGAAAGAGATATGCAGATATATGACTCATTGATTCAGGAGCAACATATCACATGACCTCGAGAAGAGAATGGTTCCATCATTATGAACATGTCTCAGGAGGATCTGTGTATAGTTGCAATGATCATGCCTTAGAGATCGTTGGTTTAGGAACCATCAAATTAAAGATGTATGATGGAACAATTAAAGTTGTTCGAGATGAGCGACACATGAAAGGCCTGAAGAAAAATTAATTATCCTACAGATTATTTGATAATAATGCAAGCAAGATTGAAACACAGAAAGGAATCATGAAGGTGTTCCGTGAAGCGCTTGTGGTGTTGAAAGGCGAAAAGATAGCTGCAAACTTGTACATGCTGAAGGGAGAAACTTTGCTAGAAACAGAATCCTCTGTTGCCTCATGTAGTTCAGATTCTACAATGATATGGCATCAAAAACTTGGACACATGTCAGAACAAGGAATGAAAGTCATTGTGGAGCAAAAGCTACTTCTAGGCTTAACAAAGGTATAACTTAATTTGTGTGAGCATTGCATAACAAGTAAGCAACACCGGTTGAAATTCAACACATCAAATTCTAGAGGCAAAATTGTTCTAGAATTGGTTCACTCTGGCATATGCAAGCACCAGTTACATCCCTAAGCGGAGCAAAATATTTTGTCTCATTTATTGATGACTACTTCAGAAGATGTTGGGTGTACCCTATTAAAAAGAAGTCGGATGCGTTTTCAACTTTCAAAAACTTTAAAACGCGGGCGAAACTTGATTCTGGAAATAAGATCAAGTGTTTCATAACAGATAATGGAGGAGAATACACAAGTGAAGAATTTGATGACTTTTGTAGGAAGAAAGGCATCAAAAGGCAGTTCACAGTGGCGAACACTCCTCAACAAAATGGAGTCGCAGAGCGGATGAACAGAACCTTGTTAGAAAGAACAAGAGCAATGTTGAGGGATGCAGACCTAGAAAAATCATTTTGGGCAGAAGCAGTCAATACCGTATGTTATTTGGTGAATCGAGCTCCATCAACTGCAATAGAGCTGAAGACACCAATGAAGATGTGGACTGGTAAACCAGTTGATTATTCAAACCTCCATGTATTTGGAAGTATTGTGTACGTGATGTATAACTCCCAAGAAATTTCAAAGTTGGATCCAAAATCTAGGAAATACAAATTATTGGGGTATGTTGATGGTGTAAAGGGTATCACTTGTGGGATCCCACTGCCCGCAAAGTGATCATCAGCAGGGATATTATCTTTGTAGAAGATAAATTACAAAGAAAAGAAGAAGATGGTAGCACTAAAAAGTCAGAAACTACGCAGATACATGTGGAAAATGAGTTTGAACAAGAAGATTCTTCTGAAGCAGAACAACAAGAAGATTCTTCTGAAGCAGAACCAACACATGATGAACAAGAACCAGAGAGTTCTGAAGCTCCAACAAGTCGTCAATCAGATCGTGTGAGAAGATGTCCCAATTGGCACTCAGATTATGTTATAGAAGGAAATATTGCATATTATCTTTTAACAGAAGACGGTGAGCTATCAACATACCAGAAGGCAATAAACAATTTTTGAGTATTTTAATTATTAAAAATTATGAAATGGTCTTCTAATTATATGATGATATTTTATTAAATATATCGACTATTAAAAATTACAAAATGATACCTTGATTATTCATCATGTTTCAAACTTATCCTTTTTTATTAAAAAAAATTATAGTCGTCTAAGTTGGTTGTTAACATACTGAGTGAGATATGATAGTCGTTTGAGATTTTAAGATAAGATTTTATCATATCTAAATCAACAGATTAATTTTCAACTCAAATTATCGTCAATTTTTTTAACAAAAAATACGAATTTAGAACATATTAAATTATCGAATGATCATTTTATAACTTTTAATGGTCAATTGACTCAACAAAGTAACACTCAATAGTTAAAGGATTATTTTATAACTTTTAATAGTTAAAAAATTTAAAAAAGTAATTTTTTGTAATCGAGAGACTGTAGGTAATGCTTTATTACCTCCGGGAGAGAATGCTTCTAAATCAAACATGGATATATGATTTCGAAAAAAAATTATTCATTTAATAATGATCTTTTTAAAAGAACAAAACGGCGAGTAAAAGAATCCGCTAAGAATTCTTCTACATCTAATTTAACGTAAGCAATTAAAATGACAAAAATAAAATTAACTTGGGTGATTAAAATAAAAATAAAAATTACAAAATTTAATAGAGTTACTCAAATTAAAATGAAATCCAACTGGAGTGAATAAAAATGCAAATAACGTTAATCGATGATGGTGACTAAAATGAAACTTTGTAAATTTTGGGAGACTAACTGTATAGTTTACCGTTAAATAAAATACGTACAACAATCCACACAGATTAAATTGGTAAATATACCACAGCACATATCGGACTCTCGCTCTTTCAATCATTCATTGCTCTTACAATGGAGATCATCCATTTTCTTTTGATTTCATCGCTTCTCTTCTCAATCTCTAGGGTTTGTGCTCTGATTTTGGTAATTTCATTTAATCGATTCGATTTTTCTTTTTTATTCTGATTTTTTACCGCAGGCTGAATCTACTGGATCTGTTATCTTCATCGATAGTTATACTCATCAATTCCTTCGCACTCGATCCTCCAACGATGTCTCTCAGGTGTTTACTTATTGATCCATGTGTCCTTTAATTAAATTCATTCATCCGTAACTAGGTTTCGAAAATTATACTTTTGTGATATTTTTAACTATTGAGAGATTGTTGATGGTTAATTTTACCTGGCCAGAATATGTAAAATTGGATAAATACATCTTGAACTTTAGTTTTTCTTTTGATTTAGTGACTTAGTTGTAGGCTGATGTTTTTCTTTGTATTATTATTAGATTTGAATTGTTCAATGTTACATGTTAAAGATTGTACTGATGACTTGACGCTAATATCATTTTACGGCCATTTTTATATACTTAGATGAATTTCGTTTAGCAGGAGAAAGTATTTTCTCCATACTTGTATATAAATTGTTATTCACATCTCTTTCAACAGTCTGAGTCAATGTTGTTACCTGAAGTTGGCGCGGCTGTGTCAGTCTTGCTTGGTTTTCCTCCATCGGTTACGCTCTCAGCTGCTGGTTCATCTAAGGTCATCATTAGTTTTATAAATCCTGAGTAATAATTATTTTAGTTTTGATATCTTTTTTGGAAGTTCTGATTCAAAGATATTCTATTTTTTTTATTTTTTTTGCAGCTGAATGAGGTTCTCATTCCTAATCCATTTGATAGACCTCGTGCTGTTTTTATGCTTGAAGTTATTGGAGTTGATGGTACCTTTATTTTTTCTCTAAGTTCTTTATACTCTGTTTTCTTCTCCCCATTCTCCCCTTCAGTGTTTTGGTTAAATAAATTTTCTTTGGTCTTCAGATCCTCTTGTTGTTGATCCCCAGAATGGTCTCTTCCACAAAGCCTTGAAGTGTAGTGTTGGCCTTGGTTCACGTAAAGCGGACATTGAGCTTCCAGGTACCTGACCTTTTATCAAAATGTAAAAGTAGTGGATGTAGTCATAACTTTTATTGTGTTTAAGATCTTTTCCTGAATGTATCTATCCATAGTATTTGTTCAATGTGTAAATCTTTCTTTTAGATGAAGAGGAAGTATCTATTATTTCTTTGAACGAGCCTCTAAGAGATTACATTGAAGAAGAGATCAATGACTTGGTGAGTTTATAATTATTCGCAGATTTAATTACTATTGCGTTTTTTTTGTTCTGTTTGATTATTTATTTGGCATGTGACATTGGTTTTATATATGTGTTTAGGCATCTTGGTTGGGTGGATCATATGTCCCTGATTCTTCTAAATCTCTGCATGGAGTATTGACAATTCCCTTGGAAAGTGGTGACAATGTTAACCTTGATTTGTCAAAGGTCTTATTCAGGAACCAATATATGTCTGTTCTTTTAATTGTTTTTGACTGACTGTATCATTGTAGCAGTCTTGTGCTGTCTTGAATTCTTATTTACCTCACCAAGTGCTTTTGATTTGATTGTTCACAGGAAGTGCACAGAGAATTTGCATCAAAACTGTTCGCTCTGTCCCACAGTATAAGGAAAGCAATTGAGACACATGAAGATTTGTCAAAGACTTTGCATAGACCAGCAGAGTTAATAATGGGATCTTTTGATGGAATCAAGGTACAAAAACATACAGACTTCATTTGGCTAATAGTACTATTTTGTTTTTATACATTGACATCTTATCTGAAAATATTTTTGGAGATCATCATGTTTAAGTGAAGGTTTTTAAATCCTTTTCAGCTCACTTTCCTTCATAGCTTTCAATACCAATTAAAACACTCTTGGTTGTCTCTAATTATTGGCCTTAAGCATAGAAAGTGGTTAATTCAGTTTCCTATTTAGTAATTTATTTTCATGCTATTGTTTTTTTTTTATAGAAGTTGGAGGTCTCAATAAAAACTCCCTTCGTATTCGTTTTACATACTAATAAGTATGTTAGCGAACATTGGAAGGAAGAAAAGAGTACCTCAAAGTTTATTAATAATAATACCCAATACGAAAGGTTACACGTAATATCCTCCTATGGTGATATACACCATTACAACAACCACCTTAACCTCATATAACCTCAACCAAAATCACAGTCGAATCACCTTGTTACTAATTACACCTCCAACAATAGGATTTAAACAACGCAACATAACATAATACAAAAAGAAAAGCAACACCTGCAATCATATAAACTAAATCAAACCACAAATAGAAAGACGATATCTAATGAGATTCGTCTTCTTCAGGAGCCCAAGAGTTCGGCTTGAATGAAGGCTCTATCTCATGCACCATGATCTTAAAGTAGTTGTCACCAACTTTCAATTCCAAAGTCGCATCAATTCTCGCACCAGCCTTTGCGAGGACTTGAATTTTTGCCCGATCAAAGGATGATGGTGACTGACAACTTTCATCGATTGCTAGTAATTGACCCCAACTATCAACAATGTTCTTGAAGGTATCCCAATTCCATGCATGAAACGGAACACCCTCGCATACTAACCATACTCGGCGACACTCCAATACCAGACTCTCTGACCAAGCTTCCACTATGGAGAACCACTCTGTGAGAGTCTCTGATTTAACGTTCTTCCCACTTCTCAATGAAGCAGAGTCTTCGAAAATCAATAATACCGCATTTCCAGCGGCTCTCATTAAGGAGAAGCCAGTGAGGCCCTTCGCATGCATTTGTCTAGCGAGATGACTGATTTTGATGAAGTTTTTGCACCACCCCGCTAGACAATTACTCAACACCTGAAGTTTTTCTTCATCAATAACACTTTCAACTTTATAATGATTCTTCCTCGAATCATATTCCATCCCGGACTTGTGGAGAACACCTTTGGAAGACTTTCTCCAATAGGAATGACGAGGCTTGAATTTAGCTAAAGAAACACCAATTTTGCTGCCATCGATATAAAAGTCATTCATTTTTGAGGTCGCTCTCCTTGCTTCTTCGATTGCAGCGAAGCGAATGAAACCAAAGCGAACTCCTTTTGCATTTCTTTTATTTGGAATAAAAGCATCAAGAACCCGACCATGTGAACAAAATAACGATCTAAACCTCTTCCAATGGATCTTCTCTGGTAAGTTTTCAACAAATAACGTGTAACATCCAGACTTATCACCATTGCACTCCTTTGTGGTAAATTCCCTGGTTCCGTCGTTGACACCATTAACTGCAGACTTTTCGTCGCAACACCCAGTTTTAACAGGCACGTGAATACTTGGAGATGCTAGAGAAGCTGGATTTGGCAATGGCAGTACTGGAGGAACAGGAGCATCATAATTAGAAATTATATCTCTTTTAACAATAAGATTCTTCTTTGCCATCTCAATGTGCAAAAGGGACTTCAACTTAGAATCAAAAACCATTTTCTGAAGAGCATCCTTGGCAGCAACTGCAAATTCTGCATTTGAGAAGAGAGAGAAACCCTTAGGCTTTTCTCCCTTATAGCTCAAATGAGAATCTTCAAAACCTGGAAGCCATCTCAGAAGATTTTGCAGTTCTCTCTCTTTTACATCTCCAGGCAGACCCATAATGAAGATAGTACGAACCTCGTCATGATGAGAAGGGAGAGATGGTGGAGAAATCGCGGCTGCAGAGGATGAAGGAGTTTGGCCCTTCGATCTCTGCTGGACAGAAGGGATAATTCCAGCACCCGGCATGAAGAATAACTGTTGAAGTTAAACAACCTAGAGACTAGACGGAACTATCCTGGTTGCGCCCGGCGATGGAGGCTGTGACTGTCGGCGAAAAAAGAAGGGTGGAGGTGATGAACAGGTAAATCTTGAACCTGAAGACAGATGAACTCTGTAGATATCCAATCAAAAACTAAAACACAAAAAAAGGCCACGGGTCTGGAAAGTAGGAAAAACTTGTTTTGTTCGCGAGAATACGACAAGCCCAGTGGAAAGAAGAAGTATTGGCGAAGAGACGCTGGCGTGAATCGGAAAACAAGGTGTAAAGATCTTCGTCGGAGAAGAATTTGCGTCACCAACAGCTGATAGTCTAAGGGCCTCGTCCAAGATCCACTGAGTTTACGGCTCACCGTGACGTAACGCTGCCTAGATCCGGGATGGTGGCATCGAGACGAACAAACCTGGAAGTTTTGATGGTCAACAGCCACCGGACGTGACGGCCGGCGCGGTGTCTAACAGCTGCGGCGGGTGGCGGACAATGGGTAGATGTCAGAGGGGAGAAAAAATTTCAACAACGCCTGGGTCGTGGATATTTGAAATTTGAAAAACACCTAGGTTAGAGAGAAGCTAGAGCTTCTCTCACTAACACGTGATCTGGCGTTACACGCTTATACATATATCAAACCATATATTCGAATGACTTTCTCATACCTGATTAGTCTGACAGATTTTAGTCAAGTTTCATTCTACACAACGAGTCCAAGACTCCAAATATAAAGTAAAGCATAAATAACGATTTTTCATGCTATTGTTTATGTTTGCTTCTCCATCACTTACCCATTTGCTAATCCTCCTAATATTTCCCAAAAAAATACAGGCTTTGCAGGAGCAGGATGGAGCTGAAGGTTTTAATAAGCAAGGAATGAGGCTTCTGTTTACCACACTTTCCAAGATTTTTGATTCGATGCAGACGGCATACAAAGGTTGGTAAAATATTGAACACTGTATAGGAAAAAGGTCTTCAATTTAATAATTGATTAAGGTTGACCGTCATTCTTGTTTGTAGCCCGTCATTTATATACCCCGTGTATACAAATGCAAAAGGCAGAAAATGTGATACTATATATGTACAGTGAAACTAGACATGCCAATTTATGCGGAAATCTGTGTGCATATGTGATGGTGATATTATTCACAAAATTTAGGATTAACGCTTTTCTTCTCTTGAGTTGTTGGCCGCATTTTCCTTCATTCCTCTTCCTTTAATCCCTGCCTGTCAATTTGTTTGAAAACTCTAACTGAGGATTGGGCAGGTCAAATTGTTGGAGTTATTGTCTTTAATGAGGCATCTCAGCCAGAATCAAAAACAATGATGAATGTGATAGCTACCTCACGTCCATCTCCGCGTTGGTTGGAAGGAACAAAAGGTCAAACTAAGACCACCCTTGCTGCACAAGTTTTGGTTAGAAGAACCCTTGCTTGGGTAACTGGAATTGTTCTTCTCATTGCAACTCTCTTGGGGGTAAGATCTATTTTTAAATATTAATCAAGTTTGAAGCCGGCCTTTACATGGTTCCCAGAGTTTTTGTTTTTAAATATTTCCTGTAACACTAGAGCACCATAGTAAGTCCAATTTCATAAAACTATATAACCGTAGGCCTTTTAATGAACTTTGGAAGCTCTTTTATATCTGGTTTTCCATCTAGTGCAAAATTCAGATGTCTGGACCAGATGTGCTAATTTATGTTTTTCTTTCTTCCAAGATTCATAAACCTTTTCTCCATTCCATCTTACAACCGAACTGAACTTCGTTTTTATACTGCTTTGAACTCTGATGATTATATTTCTAAGAATACATTGTTACTCGGTGGGTTCAACGAGTGAGTGGCTATAGGATCCAGACGAAAGCAATAGGACCCTTTGGGAAAGGGGGAAATTTTCTCTCTATGTTGTCAGTGGCGAAGGCTTTGGTCCATGCTGTCATTGCCCTTATAGATCCACATAGTCTCACTTTTTACTGATTAAGGAGTTTTACCGACTCTGTTCGATTCATTTATTTGGTGCGGCTGAAGAGTCGTTTATGAGATTAATAACGTTTCTTTTAACTGTGGTATTGATATATCCATTTTTGCTTTTCGTTTTTACTACTGCAGGTTTACTTCCTTCTAAATATGCCATTGACGAGGGACACGCTTTTGTACTCTAATGTCAAGATAGACTAAACTGAGATAAGGCCGAGTATATCGGAAGCAGCCCGGTATGAATTATCTTTTATTAGTGGGAAATCGAGGGATATGTTGTTACCTTGGTTATTCGGTGATGTCGGAAAAGATTAATCTGGCGAACGGAATGCTTTTTTTTTTTAATCCGCAGGTTAATACGGCTGCATGAAGCATAAATTTGGGTATTTTCGGGTATCGTATGGCTATGGTACTGCAGATGAGACGGGAAGATGATTGTATTTGATGTAAATTTTGGTAATTTGTATTCAATTTTCAGACTTTCATATTGTATTTGTTTTCAGAAATTCCAAATAAAGGTTTGTCTTTGAAGGGAATGGAGTTTCGTTCCCTTCAGAAAAAGATTTAATGTCATTTACTAAAAAGGGTAAACAACATTGAGGTCTCTTATATTTCTGGCTTGTTCAATTTTGGTCACCGATTAATAAAAAAGTTTGGTTTCGGTCACTTTTATTTTCGATCCGTCCTATTTTGTCATTGAATCATTAGCTCCTGTTATTTTGCTGACATGATCCGTTAGTAAACATAGTTAAATTTTAACTTGACGCTTGACTTGTACATAGAATACTAATCTTACCTTAAACTTTGCATAAATTACTAATTTAACTCCTAAATTTTATATAAAATATCAATTTGACCTTAAATCCAATCGAAATTCACATAGTTGGCCGTCACTCATTGTTGGCTTTCGTCATCAATCACTACTGATCGTTCTCTTCAACGACCAATGCTTGAATCTCTTGGTGACAATACAGCATGAGAGAAAGAAGTGTGAAATAAGGAAATAGAGATTCTTCATGTATGCTAGCTATGGCATATTTATAGATACATATGTATATTAGTAAATTGTTAGCATGTATTGGCAAGCATGGATGGATTGAAGGGGTACAGTTGACGGGGATGAAAACTGATGAAGGTGATGAGTGACGGCCAGTAATATAAACTTTGACTTGATTCAATGGTCAATTTGATATTTCGTATAAAATTTACGGTTTATTCATATTTTATATAAAATAACGAGAATTAACGACTGAGAAAGTGGCCAAAACTAATTTCTTTTTCAAAATTAATGACAAAAATCGAACAGACTGAATACATAAGACACCACTAATGTTGTTTACCCCCAGAAAAGTAAACAATACCAACTAACCCGGCTTTGATAATTAAAAAAATACAAACTTAACATGGAAGGATTGGAGCCAATCTTTTATAAACCATAATACGAGGATTGAAAAAGGAAAAACCCTTTCAATTTCATTTTTGGGCATAAATGGATTTTACGAGGATACTGCCAGAAGAGTGCCAAAGTCTGATCATATCGTTGACTTCGCCGGCGGATGCTTGTCGGTCGGCGATGGTTTCTCCTTCGTTGAGATCAGTTGCAGACAGCGACGCAGTTTGGGAAAAGTTTTTGCCTTGCGATTATAATTCGATCCTTTCATCATCGTCTTCGTTGCTTTCACTGGGGAAGAAGGAACTTTACTCTCATCTCTCTTCTCATCCCGTTCTCATCCGAAACGGTACCATGGTAAGCCCCATAGCTTTACTATTGTATATGTATACATGGATGGATCCAAGGGGGAGACGGGCAGGATAATCTACTGCATATTTTATTTTCAATTGATAATATATTTTCATCCATTAAAATTTTATAAATTCGATATACAATCACGCATGTGTCCCGTATGTGCTATGTATATCTGATTCTGAGCTGCAAGGGTATTCTGGATTCTTGATGATCAAATTGCTTTGAACATGTCAAGGGAATCATGGCTAATTTGCGAGAAATAGATTTTTTGTGGATTTATTTGCAAAAATTAAGGTAGTTGGTGTTGAAACAGAGCTTTCAGTTGGAGAAAGGGAGTGGGAAAAAGTGCTACATGCTGGGGGCAAGAGCACTCTCCATCATATGGGGAGATACTCCTTCCTATTGGACTTGGACATCCGAACGAGATTCTAGGTTTGATTTTCATCTTTTTAAATTGGTTTATTTCTGCATTTGGTCCTTGAACTTATACTCTCCTCTCACAATAGCCCTCAGGGCTTAGACTTTGTTTGGTATGGTGGAAAGAAAATTGGAAGAAAGGAAAATTGAAGGGGTAGAAAAGTGGAAAGACCAAAAATCATCTTTTCTTTCTATCATTGTGCTTGCTAGAAAGGATGGAAAAAAATTAAAAGAGAATACATCTTCTCCTTTTTAAATTAGAATGGTTTATGGTTACGCATGAGTATGAAAAATGATCATCCCTCTCATTTTCTTTTTGACATTTTACTTTCTTCCCTAGAAAATGTCACTGTTGACACCAAATGTACTGACAGATTCCCTGAAGTTGCTGAGCTTAAACTAGTATGGTGGCTTGACGTGAAGGGAAAGATGGAGACCCGAATTTTATCTCCCAACACAAACTATGCAGCATACCTTGTGTTTAGGTTAAGACGTCGTCATACAAGCGGGTTTAGACGAAGAACCGTCGGTTTAAATGTGAATATCGACGGAATGGTTCCGAGAGAAGCACAGAGGGTGTCACTAGACTCACGAGATGAACCCCAACATGTTCGGGAGAGAGGAGATGAGTGGATGGAGGTCGAAATGGGCGAGTTCTGGAGTGAATGTGGCGATGACGGAACCGTGGAGTTTGGTCTTAAGGAGATCGACACAAGTTACCACAAGCGTGGTCTCATTATCGAAGGAATTGAAATTAGGCCTAAAGATATTGGTAGCTAGTTAGACGATGGACATTATTTTCCTCTTTTATTTGGTCCAACGTACTAATAATTAGAAGAAAATAAATGTGTTGCTCCTTCTTATAATAATTACATGATTATCATATGTCATTTAAAAATTAATAATTACATGATTATCACATGTTAATTCATTTTCGATGTGCATAGTTTCATTCATAATGTTTGGTTGTCATTATTAAGGTGAATCTTATAATTTTACTTGTTCATTTTTGTATCCTTCATAAAACTGGGGAAAACTTCAATTTGTTGGTAATTTTTGTATCCTTCATTTGTAGTATATTTTGAACGGACCAAATATGACCCCCAAAAAAAAAACACTAGGCAGTTATGCCGGTTTCTTTCCCGATAGGGCAAAAAATTTAATTATTTAGTTCATTAAGGCAGGTTGATGTTTAATTAGGGATCTACGATATTTCTTATAGTGAACTTGACGAGCCCCACACCATTATCATTCGACGACTCCTCGGTATCATCAAGAACTTAGAAAATATAAATAGATTTTTTATCCATTTTATTAGTTTGTAATAAACTTATTCATTTAAGTTTTTTATATTATTTTTTTGTTTCAAACTTTTTTAAAAAAAATAAATCCATCAATAGCTTTAAGCTTATATACAATGTACATTGCATAGTTTTGTTGGGAGATAAAATTATGGTCTCGATTCTTCCCTTCACTTTGAGCCACTGCTATATTCGGAGACGGAACTAAAAATTTATTATAATGGAGTTAAAATATCTTTTATTTTTTATAAATACAGTTTTTTCAATTAAAAATGAATTAAATACACGATAATCATGTAATTGTTATTATTTAGATAATAAAAATACATCATATAGTATAAATATGATATAAATATAAGAAGGTGTTTAATTTATATAAAATAAATTATTAATGTGTTGAAATTCTATATAGTTTAATTATTCAAAAATACAAAAAAAAATTATAAAAAAACAATACATCTTTTACTAATTATGAGTAGTATATGTTGGACCAAATAAAAAGGAAAATAATGTCCATTGTCTAACTAGCTAGAAATACCTTGAAACTAAATTCCTCAATTCCGCTATCATCAAAAAAAATAAAATGGGCTGTCATATAAAATAAATTATTAATGTGTTAAATTCTATATATTTAATTATTTAAACATACAAAAACAATGCTGAAATGGACTGTTATATAAAATAAATTATTAACATGTTAAAATTCTATATATTTAATTATTTAAACATACAAAAACAATGTTAAAATGGGTTGTTATATAGATGCAAAACGACATCGTTTTGGTGAAAATTTTATCTTTTAAAACAGCATCGTTTTTAACGCTGTTAACTATTTAACGACGGAGTGATCAAATATGAGAAATAGTAAAATTCAGTGACAAAAAAAACCCAGTATATTAAGTTCGGTGATGAAATTGAAAACTTTTAAAATTCAATGAGCAAAATAGGAGAGAGAGTAAAGTTTAATGATGAAATTTGTAATTTACCCACATACAAGAATTATCAAGAAGTAACAATACCTTTGGGCCTAATCTCAATTCCTTCAATAACGAGGCCTCGCTTATGATAACTTGTGTCGATCTCCTCAAGACTAAACTCCACAATTCCGTCGTCATCACAGCCGTTCCAAAACTCACCCATTTCGACTTCCGTCCACTCATCCCCTCTCTCTCGAACATGTTGGGGTTCATCCCATTTGTATAAGGATACCCTCCGCGCTTCTCTTGAACTCAGTCCATCGATATTCACAGTTAAATCTACGGGTCTTCGTCTAAAGCCGATTGTATGCTGATATCTTATTCTAAACACAAGATATACTACGTAGTTTGTGTTGGGAGATGAAGCTCGGGTCTCCATCTTTCCCTTCACATGAAGCCACCATACTAATTTGAGCTCAGCAACTTCAGGGAACCTGGCAATATGTTTGGTGTCAACACTGACATTCTCTAACGCTTCGCTTGGTTGAGTCTAGGGGTGGTTAACGAGTTGAGCAGCTCGAACTCGACTCGATCAAAATTTGATAAACGCTTGATTCGAACTCGAACTCGACTCGAGACCTTAATGAGCTGAGCCGAGCAAAGTCTAACTCGACTCGATAAGTTTGCGAGCAGCTCGTTAATTTTTTAAAATATATTTTTAGTAATTACTTCAAAAATTTTTCATTCAAAAAAATAAATCTAAATAACAATTATTAATTTATTAATAAAAAATAATAAGTCAACCAATCTATTATTTTTAATAAATAATAAAATATTATTAACTAATAATAATATTTTTAATATAAAAAACCCAAACCCTAATATCCTCGTATAGTATTAGTAAATTTTATTTTTAGTTAAAAAATAAGATAAATTTTTTAGTGAGTTTAACGAGCAACGAGTCAAGTTGGGCAGTAAATTTTTAACGAGCACAATTTTAACGAGTTTAACGAGCAATGAGTCGAGTCGAACAATAACGACCACGAGTCGAGCACTGCCCAACTCATGATCGACTCGCTCGATAAGCACCCCTAGTTGAGTCATTTCTAGCAAGCACAATGATAGAAAGAAAAATGATTTTTCTTCTTTCCACTTTTCTATCCCTTTAATTTTTCTTTCTTCAAATCTTTTCCCACAATACCAAGTAAACCCCAAGGGACGTTTAGTTCACGGAATATAAGATTATCTTTGAGAATAATATCACTAGAATGAAACATTACTATGAGAATGTTGTATTTCTTTGTTTGGTTTATTTACAGGAATGTAAAATTACAGTGTTTGGATGGAGAAATATAAGATTATTTAAATATATATTTTACCAAATTATCCTTGTGATATATTTTTTTAATAAAAGTTAAACTTTAACATTCAATTATAAATATTTGAATGAAAATTCATAGAAATATTTTAATCATTATGTTATCTAACTTTTGAGAAAAAATATATTTAATATATAATAAGTATTAAACTTATATTTTTAAATTTTTTTCATAAGTATCATATTTATTTATATAAAATATAATATAATATGGAAAAAATAATATTATGGTCTCGAATAAAAAAGATATTATTTTTCAATGCACCATATCTATTTTTTAATAACTTAAAGTTAGATATTATTTTAAATAATTATATTTTTTCAATAATAGTATTCTTCATCCCATAAAATTATAAATAATCAATATATTGAATATTAAAAATATATAAAATAATTTTAAATATTCAAATTTATTACTATTTTAATAAATTAAACTCTTTCTATATTATTATTATTATTATTATGTTTATAATCAAATAAGAATTGAGAATGATCATCATAAAAATAATTCATTAGTATAGGAGTATTCTTGTCCAAAGTCATAGGAATTGTCTAATACCTATAAATTTGGAGGTAATGACATTCCCACAATTTTAACGAAAAAATGCTACTATTGGGAAAATATTATTCCCTGATAATAATCTTTTCTGTGAACCAAACATGATAATATAATTCCAGAAAAGATTATTCTCCTTAGAAATGATCTTTTCCGCGAACCAAACGCTGCTTAAGGGCTATTGTGAGAGGAGATTGTAAGTGTAAGGGCCAAATGCAGAATTAAACCAATTTAAAAAGAAGAAAATCAAACCTAGAATCTCGCTCGGATGTCCAAGTCCAATAGGAAGGAGTATCTCCCCATATGATGGAGAGTGTTCTTGCCCCCAGCATGTAGCACTTTTTCCCACTCCCTTTATCCAACTGAAAGCTCTGTTTCAACACCAACTACCTTAATTTTTGCAAAAAAATCCACAAAAAATCTATTTCTCGCAAATTAGCCATGATTTCCTTGACATGTTCAAAGCAATTTGATCATCAAGAATCCAGAATACCCTTGCAGCTCAGATACAGATATACATAGCACATACGGGACATATGCGTGATTGTATATTATGAGAGTCGAATTTATAAAATTTTAATAGATGAAAGTATATTATCAATAGAAAATAAAATATACAATCGATTATCCCGCCCGTCTCCCCTTGGATCCATCCATGTATACATATACAATAGTAAAGCTACGGGGCTTACCATGGTACCGTTTTGGATGAGAACGGGATGAGAAGAGGGATGAGAGTAAAGTTCCTTCTTCCCCAGTGAAAGCAACGAAGACGATGATGATGATGAAAGTATCGAATTATAATCGCAAGGCAAAAACTTTTCCCAAACTGCATCGCTGTCGGCAACTGATATCAACGAAGGAGAAACCATCGCCGACCGACAAGCATCCGCCGGCGAAGTCAACGATATGATAAGACATTGGCATTCTTCTGGCAGCATCCTCGTAAAATCCATTTATGCCCAAAAATGCAACAATAACATCGATTAAAAGGGTTTCTTTACGTGTCATATTCTGGCTGATAAAATATAGGCTCCAGTCCTCGTTAAATTTCGATTTTTAAATTATCAAAGCCGACTTTAGTGACCAACTGTCACAAGTTTACAATTAGAAAATTACAGTCGAACCATTCTATTTATCAATTATAATAATCATATCACTTTATCGTTAATGAATATTAATTTTTTAGTTACACTTAAGTTTGGCTATGGATTCCGCAGCATTGCTGTCTTGCTACATGGTATTGGCCTGCATTGGGAAGGTAAGCTTCGGACAAAGGTCTTTAAGGTAGCCGTAGATACCACAGTGGAAACAAATGGAAGGATGGGACTCGTATTCAATGATTTGAATCCGACCATATAAAATGAGTCGTTAATACCGATTGAGAAAATAAGATATAATCGTGTTGTGGATTAACTATTATTTTTAAAGGTAAAACCATCATCATTGATGTAATCTTTAAAATAGATATTATCTCCGGAAGTTAACACAATCCTTTAAAATTTTATACACCCAAAATATAAAATGAAAATCTCTTCTCGAAAAATACAACAACAACAACAAAAACAAATTTTTGGAGAAAAATAAGTATATAGAAAGAATTCTATTTGAATAAATGAAATGAGGAAATATCTCATTATTTATAGGTTAAGATAGGTATGTAAATAAACTAAACGAACGCAAACAATGGTATGTTCATGTTTGTTCGTTTAATCGAACAAATGAACGAGCCTCTTCTCGAAAAAGACAACAACAAAAAGAATTTGGAGAAAAATAAGTATATAGAAAGAATTCTATTTGAATAATTGAAATGAGGAAACATCTCATTATTTGCAGGTTTAAGATAGGTATGTAAATAAACTGAACGAACACAAACAATTATATGTTCATGTTAAAACATCTAAAAATATCTTATTAAATTCGATTAATGAGTTGTCTGTCATTCACCTTAATTTCTTTTTAATTTAATCGTTTAAAATATTCATCCTCTCATCCTCTCGTTGTAGGTAATGTGAGTTTATCTTATTCTTTTACAAAAGAATCATCCAACCTTCGAGATACGAATTCATTAAGATTGGAAACTCTTAAGTATACCAAGTCCTTCTCGATATGACCACCTGATCTTTGAAATTTGAATTTATTGATAGTAAAATCTTAATTTTCCAAGTTGGTGAATTATCAAGTTCTTCTCACCAGAATCATCCATACAATTTAGGATATGAATTCACTAAGATTACCCATTGTGTGACCTCAATGATAAAAGGGAATATTGTTCTCTTTAAAAAATTTAGATTCGAGTAACTATATCGACCAGATGTGTTGCAGAAGACTAAGAAAATTCTAAACAAATGTTAATTTATAATCACCTCAAACTATTTTTTTTAAAAAAATTATTAAAATTAAATATTCATCCTTTATGTCAATAAATTCATTTAATCCTTCAATTTGGGATCACTCATATCTTATTCATTAACAAAATCACACAAATAATGATCTTAAAATCATTTGATTTATTTGATTTTTCTAGAAAAAATAAATTAATTGCATGTAAACCCCTATTTTAGGAAAATGTTAATGGGTTTGAGGTTGAGATTAAAAGAAAATTCAAAATAAAGGGTTAATTTATAAAAATATAGAATTTAATGGTGAGATGGAAAAGGTTTTATGTTAAAACTTTTGGGGGTCGAGATTAGATGAAACTCATCCCATTTCGCCCTTATATGTTTATTAAAAATGTCATTTTCTTTTTTATATATAGTGTATTTATTTTTATATATATAAAAAAAGATAAAGTCGAAATTTCTTATCAATTTTCGGGATCAAATATACAATTTATTTTTATGATCAACTTTGAAATAAATTAAAGGCGTAATATTATAAATAACCCCTAACATTTATTAAAATGATCATTTTGACTCTTTTTCTTTTTTAGAGTATTTTGACCCCAACGTTTCTCTTTAGAGCAAAAAGCTACCTCTATATGAAAATTATTAGTTAACACACGAATAACGTTCCGAAATAGGAGCTTTTTCGACCTAAAATGAAACGTTGAGGGTTAAAATGCCTCCCAAAAAATAAGAGACAAAGTGATTATTCTGTTAATTGTTAAGGGTCTTTTTGCCCTAAAATGAAACGTCATGGGCCAAAATATTCTAAAAAATAGAATAGAGGACAAAATGTCCATTTTAATAAACGTTGAGGATTAATTTTGACATTATGCCTAAATTAAATTAGGTTAAAATTGAGATCGAGTACAAGTAGGACGGATGAACTAAGCCCCATAAAGACATTGTACATCCTCATTATTTTAAAAAAGTTACTAAATTTAGTGTGTTAAAAAATTTAAAAAAAAAATCAAATACCCATTATTTATAAGAAAAATAATAAATTTTCAAACTTATTTTAAAATTATGGGTTCATCACCGGTACAAGTTAGGGTTGACAAAAATCAACCATTCCCATCCATTACCATCTCTAGTCTAAGTTTTATGATATGACTAAGATTTATACTAATCAATATATAAATTATTAAATAAATATATTCAAACCGGGATCAAATCTTAAATATTTTTTATGAAGTTTGACTAGAATAAAAAATAAATTAATATTTTTATTAAAACTTATTTTTCAAAATTTATTTTTTTTAAAATTTACAAAATATCTTGTCCATGAACAAATTTACATGAACAAATTTACTTAAACCCCATAAGTCCATATGAAGTGTAAATGAAATTAAAAGGCCAAGCTTAAAGCATGGGAGTAAACATCTCTCCACCACTAAGAAAACCAGTCGACACAATTTCCTCAAGCAAACAGACAAAACATTGTTTAAAACCTTAATCCCATGTTCAATTCCAGCATTAAAACACCAATAAAAAGTGCATTTTGCACTTCAGAAGACGAGGGAAAAATAAATAATGCTTTGTTTAGCTGCTCGAAGCTAATCAAAGCAACCACAACTAATGGCCACGTCCAAAAATAAGAAATCAACCAACACTCCCCAATCGCCCCAAGGAGTAAAATTTACCCGTAGGACGGCGAGTGGTCGTATTGTGAGCTTGTCCAGGGACGACGACGACGATATGTCCGGCGATCAATCGAGCCAAAACGACTACATAAATTACACCGTCATGATGCCACCTACCCCTGATAACCAGCCCTCGACGGGCTCTCAGGGCGGCGCCAATGACGGATCGAAAGCGGATAAAAGGGTGTCGGTAATGAAATCGGTGAACAATAAGTCCATGTTGTTAAGGACCCAGACGGGTGATTTTGATCATAATCGTTGGTTGTTTGAGTCGAAAGCTAAGTATGGGATCGGTAGTGCGTTTTGGCAAGACGACGACGAGCAATACGGTACCAATGGGGGTGTGACGATGTCGGATTTCATGGATAAGCCGTGGAAGCCGTTGACGAGGAAGATCCCGATTAAGTCTAGTATTCTTAGCCCTTACAGGTTTTTGATATTGGTGCGTTTGGTGATTCTGTTTTTCTTCCTCGGTTGGCGTTGGCGTAACCCGAACCCTGATGCGATGTGGCTGTGGGGCATTTCGTGTGTGTGCGAGTCGTGGTTCGCGTTCTCTTGGCTGTTGGACAGTCTTCCGAAGCTGAACCCTATCAATCGGTCAACCGACCTCATCACGCTACATGAGAAATTCGAGCAAGTCTCACCGTCGAACCCGACCGGTCGATCGGATCTTCCAGGAGTCGACGTGTTCGTCTCGACGGCCGATCCCGACAAGGAACCTCCACTTGTCACTGCCAACACCATCCTATCCATCATGGCTGCTAATTATCCTGTTGAAAAACTCTCTGCCTATATTTCAGATGATGGTGGTGCCATCCTCACATTCGAGGCCATGGCCGAGGCAATCCGTTTTGCCGAGGTGTGGGTACCGTTTTGTCGGAAACACGACATCGAACCTAGGAACCCCGACAGCTATTTCAACTTGAAAACTGATCCGACAAAGAACAAAAAACGACCTGATTTCGTGAAGGATCGACGGTGGATAAAGAGAGAGTACGACGAGTTCAAGGTAAGGATCAATGGTCTCCCGGAGACTACACGTAAAAGATGCGACATCCATAACAAGAGGGAGGCAATAAAGGAGAAAATTCTTGCCAAAGAGAAGAACGGCGGATCGTTGCCGCCAGATTTTAAAGCCGAGAAGGCGACATGGATGGCCGATGGCACACATTGGCCGGGGACATGGCTCAGTCCAATCGCGGACCATTCCAAAGGTGACTGTCGTAACCGGATTTCGTCCGGGCACGAAATATTTACTTGACGGGAAAAATGATGTGAATAAATATTATTATTATTTTTTTTTTTAAAAATAATTTGGAGTCGCCATCGGCCTTTTGGGTTAGGTAGGTCGAATACCTAAAAAACATCTTTTAAAAGAGTTTTTAAGAAAACATCAGTTAAAAGATAAACTGATCTGCGTTTAACCAAAAATTCATTCTTTTTTATTAATAAAAAGGGATTCGTGGTCGGTTACGTTTAGGGAAGGATTAGCACCCCTACAACGCCCAAAATTGGTACTTTTTAATTATAAATTGTCTCTATTATTGGAAATGTAAAAATTCAAAGATATATTTAATTCATAATTCTATTGTTTCAAATAATTTTAAGAAAATATATTAATATACATAAATAATATATTTACTTATTTAGAAATATCAGAAAAGGGCTTCTAGGTATTTTAAGACAGCTTTTTCTTTAATATTTAAAAATAAATACCAAAAACCTTTTATTTTTATAGTAAGATATTTATTTATTCAAAAATATCAGAAAAGAGCTTCTAGATACCTTAAGACAACTTTTTTCTTTGATATTAAAAATAAATAAATATCAAAATATGATTATTTTTCTTAAAAGTAATTAAATTTATAAATAGGATTTTTATTTAAAGAACAAATAGAATAAATAAATAAATATTATATATATTTATATAACTTAATAATAATAATAATCATGAAGATAATAATTTAAACATATATCAAAAGTAATAATAATAATAATTAAAAATGAAAGAAAACAAAAGTAATAATATTAAAACTATTGGATCATATTCATAAATATATGAACCTAAAATGTAAAAAATAATAAGACTTATGGTTAAATTTAAGATTATATAAAATTTAATGATCAAATTATAAAATATAAATATTTAAGAGACATGGTCAGAATTATCATAAAATATAAATACTAGTAGTATAATTAGCCATTAATAATTTAATAGGTGATTAAAATAGAATATTAAAATTATTAGGGACTAAATGTGATATTTATCCTAAATATATTATTTAATACTGGTAAGGACTAAACATAATAAAATAAATTCGAATACTGAATTAGAACATTCAAAAATTAGTTTTAGTGACTAAAATGAATAATTACAAAATTTAGATGGCTACGGAAAGGGTTTTACCCGTATGTAAAATTACACAAGGGTCCCTCCTCAAAACGGCGTCGTTTGAGGAGGGATTTATTATACCAAACGGCTGGCCCGAAGGGCCAGCCTCCTCATTTCTCTTCATTCCACTTCTCTCTAACTGAGAGAGAATTTAACATTCTCTCTCGGTTCTCTCTTCAATTCCCTCATCTGAGGGAATTGAGCTCCGGCCGACGGCCGTGCTTTGGTCTCGACCACCGCCGCCGACTACCATATACGGTGGTCGGATTTTTCATAAATACCCCAAAATAAAGACCCGAACCTCCCAAGGCCGAATCTGGTTTTGGTTTGCCCTAAAAAGCTCTGGATCGGAGCAGATCTAGAGAAATACCTTCGGGTATTTCGAATATTTCCTCGGTCCGTAGCATCTCCGGTCACCGTGTGGTTTCCTCGGTAAGTTCTTTCTCCTTTCTTTCTTTCTGTTTGTTTGCTGCTGAGGGTTGTTATTATTTTTTCTGTTCGGTATTTCTTTGTTGCTTTTTTTGGTCTGTTGGTTGTTGTCTCCGTTGCTTTCTGTGGCTGTGGTTGTCCGTTCTTCTGGTTTTTTTTTTTCTTGCAGGTGGGTGGCTTTTATAGCCACCACCGAGGCTCTCGTTGGACCGGTTCCAGAGATGAAAGGCCCGGTGAGTCACCATAGCTATGGTGGTGACTCACCATAGGGCTCAACGTGGGTAGCTTCTCGACGTTCTGGAGTGTCGGCAGCATCTGTTGGACCACCTGGACTCATCGGAAGCGGCTGGAGGCATCTAGAAACGGCTGGCTGCTAGGGTTAGAAACCCTAGGGTTTCCCATCTGGAACCTTTTTGGGCCGTTGGATCTTGCCAGATCCAACGGCTGATGATGTTGACGGCGGCTGGGGGCTAGGGTTTGTAAACCCTAGCTGAAACCCTAAATCAGTTTAGGGTTTCAGTTTGGGGTATGGGTCGGTTCTGGTTGGCCATGGTATTTGGGCTTGTAAATGGGCTTCTAATTTTGTAATTATTTATTAAAATAATAATATATAATATTAATAATAATAATAAATACTAATAATAATAATAATAATAATAATAATACTAATAATAATAATACTAATAATAATAATACTAATAATAATAATACTAATTTTAAATGAAAAAAATGATGTCTACAGCTGCCCCTCTTTGCTCATCCTTGTGTTAACAAGAATAGAGCAAAGACGAAAAAGACATAATTTTTTCATTTGGCTTCTTTTGAGCAGGATGGAAATGTTTGAAAACATCATGCACTGAAGGACTTACAGATGACCCGAAGGCTTTGAAAACATCAAAAAGCTCCCGAAGGCTTTTGGAAACATCATGCACTGAAGGACTTATAGATGACCCGAAGGCTTTGAAAACATCAAAAGCTCCCGAAGGCTTTTTGGAAACATCATGCACTGAAGGACTTATAGATGACCCGAAGGCTTTGAAAACATCAAAAAGCTCCCGAAGGCTTTTTGGAAACATCATGCACTGAAGGACTTACAGATGACCCGAAGGCTTTGAAAACATCAAAAAGCTCCCGAAGGCTTTTTGGAAACATCATGCACTGAAGGACTTATAGATGACCCGAAGGCTTTGAAAACATCAAAAAGCTCCCGAAGGCTTTTTGGAAACATCATGCACTGAAGGACTTACAGATGACCGAAGGCTTTGAAAACATCAAAAAGCTCCCGAAGGCTTTTGGAAACATCATGCACTGAAGGACTTATAGATGACCCGAAGGCTTTGAAAACATCAAAAAGCTCCCGAAGGCTTTTTGGAAACATCATGCACTGAAGGACTTATAGATGACCCGAAGGCTTTGAAAACATCAAAAAGCTCCCGAAGGCTTTTTGGAAACATCATGCACTGAAGGACTTATAGATGACCCGAAGGCTTTGAAAACATCAAAAAGCTCCCGAAGGCTTTTTGGAAACATCATGCACTGAAGGACTTACAGATGACCCGAAGGCTTTGAAAACATCAAAAAGCTCCCGAAGGCTTTGAAAACATCAAAAAGCTCCCGAAGGCTTTGAAAACATCAAAAAGCTCCCGAAGGCTTTTTGGAAACATCATGCACTGAAGGACTTATAGATGTGAGAAATAGTTTACTAAGTAAGAAACTATGGAAATTGTTTTCTTACTATTCAACAATTTCATTTTCAGAAAAGATTGAATGAGAAACTATGGAAATCGTTTTCTCATTATTTTTCAAAATAACATGCTGATTGGGTAACTTGCCCCGATCTAAAGATAATACTCATTCTTGTGGATTGCGTCCATCTCTTCTTAAGATGTTTGTATGATTCCTGTATTTTTGGTTTTGAATACCTTCTTCTTGTAATGTATTTTTTTACCTTCTTCGTTTTTCCGAAGATCTGTAAAACTTCATGTTTGAATGCACTCAGATGTATCAATGTAATGCATTGTTTATTGTGTAGATGATATTCTTATGAATGCATGAATGTTGATGCAATCTTCATTTGACTTCAAAATGGTGAACTCGATCTTCCTTCAGTTCATCATTTATTTCCAGGGTTACCTCTGGATATCAGTATCGCAACTTATGCTATCAAGCTTGCATTCATGCAGAATCATCTGATCAACTTGCATCTTTGTTGTCTTCTTTGCTTCATGAAAGTCTTATAAGAAATGTTTTACTTGTGGAACTCTTGTCATAGTCAAAATTATGACCCTGATGCCCTATTTTGTCTTGGATAAAACCAATTTTCTTTGCTTGGACTTGTGTAGAAATCCCATAAAGTTTTCATCTTTGAAAAGAGAATTTGTCATCTTTAAAAAGATAATCTATCATCTTTGAAGAGTGTAGATGTAGATATGCCTGACTCAGCAGAGATTAAATAGGAGAGTAGAGTCTGATCTGATTTGACTCTTGAAATATATCACAAGGAGGATTTATTCCAATTCCTTTCATGTCTCCACATCTAATCAGATCTTGAATAAGGCAACTTGGACCATATAATGTCGAGATGCTTAACAACAACCTATTGTTTGATCTTAGTTGGCTTCAATAGTTTCTTGTTGTTAATTTCAACTTTCCTTGGAAAGAAATCTTCATTATATCTCACTTCTAATATTGGGGTTGAAGAAGACAAACTTTATCTTGGATCAATAAATAGAAACCATATGATCGTAACATTGGTTCAGCATCAGAATAGCAGGTTCGTAAAACATTTGATAGTGCATTCATCCTTTTCTGTGGCTTCTGCTCAGATGTTCGTAAAACATTTGACAACACATTCATCCTTTCCTGTGGTTTCTGTTCAGAAGTTCGTAAAACATTTGACAACACATTCATCCTTTACTGTGGTTTCTGCCAAGATTTCTCAATCATTTAAGCTCTTTGCCTAATGTTCAAAGCTTTTGAATAACGTCACAAGACCACTTGAGAACAAAACTCAGTGGGGATTCAAGTGTAATGTTGGTATGACCAAAAAGTTGGTCAAATTTACAAGATATGCTGGTGTCGAATTGAATAGGAAATACCAACTGATCTTGATATCATCTCGGGCAAAGACAAATGTAATACTGATCACATTTTCTTCCATAATGATCTTTGTAGGAAATAGCAACACATCAACTGTAGGATCCATGCACAGAAAGAGATTCATGAAATTCTTACTGCTGGGGATGAGACGCTCATGATAAAACCCAAAATGGAAAATCAGTTTATCTTGGCTGGTAATGATGACCCCAGTAATAAAAGGAAAGGGTAATATAATTAAGTCGAGCTTCTCTCTTCAATGTCATCAATTAAGCAAAAACTGATGTGAAAAACAGCTTCATAATCCCAGCAGTAATGGTTGAAACAACTGCCAGAAATCTCAAAGAAATATTTTCAATTATCACTGATACAGAGAATGCAAAATTCAAAGCTAAGACCTTGAGGAACTGAACCCTGGATCGAGTAGTCTGCCTGAGGATCATCTTTATTCATGCAACCGTAATGTAGTTTATCAAAGAACACATTGTCATACGGTTAAGAATATTAGGTTTTTGAAAACATACTTGCTGAGTAACATTTGTTCAACAACATGATCATAATGTAACTGCCTGATGAACGAAGCAATTATGTATAGTCAGTTCGACTGTCACTGTTGCACCATTTTCATTCTTCATATCTTTCTGTCTCATAGGAAATATTTTTTCAAGTCAATGATCTTGACACAGGATGATATGGGCCTTCAGCATGCCCCAACATGGGCTAATACAAGCGTGCATAATGCATCGACATTCTTGGTTCTGATTGAAATGGGCTTTCAGCATACCCCAACATTTGCTTCTTGTTAATCTGAGCCTTCAAAATGCCCCACATGGATCTGTCTGAAGGAACCTTTAAAATGCCCCAACATTTGCTGATACAGATGCCAAAAGTATGTTCAACATTACTTCTTGTTGAGATGAGCCTCCAAGAATGCCCAAATATTCATATTGTTGCGAGCCTTCAAAATGCCCAATATTCTATTTCTGGTGGAAATGAGCCCTCAATATGTCCCACATGAAACATTTCTATCTGAAATGGGCTTTCGAGATGCCCCAATATTCTGCTTCTGATTTACTCTTAATGTTTGTTTGACTGGAATATCATGATCCTCATGAGGTCTAATTTTGACAATGCACTATTGTAGGTACTTGTAGCTTTATTCGTGCCCCAAATCTATTTATCTTGAATACTCTCATTCTGGTGTCACTAAACAGTAGTGTTATCAAGTAACTGAAATTCTCTTCTTGTTGTCACAGAATTAAGAAATACTCAATCATTCTGAAAGAAATGTCTGAAATATGTGTCTTCTGAATAAGGTGACCATTTTCTGTATCTGGAGGGATTTATTCAGACAGAGCAGTAAAAAATAGCTTGGTAATCCGTTCCAGGTTGACACAGTGGCTTATCATCTTTCAGTGAAATCCATCTCTGAAATATACTTTTCTGTGGGAGAGAAACCAATTTATGCAAACAGTAATCTGATGCAATGGCAAGACTACATATACAATGGTATAAGCTCATCGAAAATCCGCACCCATGCAACATGTTGATCTTGATAACAACTCATCTGATTATGAAGCGATCTTTCAGGATGATTTCACAGATATTAATAGTTCTTCTGATATCGAGGAAATCATGAATTCTGATTCTGATGAAGAGAGTAAACTATTATACTTGACAAAAATGGGATTCTCAGAGACTGAGTTTTCAATAACCATGGAGAGATGTGGTTCAGATTCATCAATTGCAGAATTGACAGATTTTATATGTGCTACCCAAATGGCTAAGGCTGTTGATGCACTTCTTTCAGGAGAATATAGGAAGCCATTATGCAATGATCCTAATTACAAGCAAAGGCGAAACTTGGGCTATGATTTGTGGAAAAGGAAGAAGCAGATGAAGCTTGAAAAGAAGCTTATTAATGAAGACGATCATGCAATTCATCCTTTAATTCTAATGATTGGTCCTGGGTTTTATATCAAATCAAATCAGATAACTCAAAGAACACTTCCAGAAGATGTTATTAGCACATTCCTCTTCCAAATTCAATGATTGGTTTTACCAAACCAGATCAGATAACTCAAAGAACACTTCCAGAAGATGTTATGATCACATTCATCTTTCAAATTCAATGATTGGTTTTACCAAACCAGATCAGATAACTCAAAGAACACACTGTCAAAAGATGCTATTGAGTCTTCTTATTTCTACTATGATCACATGGCACTTGCTCCAGTTAATGTTTGGACTGGAATATCACAGTACTTATTCGATGTAGAGC